GGCTTACCACAGGACTTTGTTAAGTGCCGACAGGATGGGCTCAGTGGCTGGTCCACATCCACAGACCTCCCTATCTCCCTCTTCTTCTCCTGCGGGGACTAGAAGAAATAATCTGTTTGCAAATGGCAAAAACTGTCCCTCTGGACACATCTACTTTTGCACAAAGGTTTTTTTATGTTTCAACTCCTCCCTCTTGCCTGAACCTTTTTTTCAGTGTTGAGACAGGATTAGGATCAAAGAATGAGAGAGGGATTAGCCTGTGCTTCAGAACCAGCATTCCCTGTACTGAGAACCCCAAGAAGCAGCTAATCCTTCCCGACACTCTTGATTCTCACGAACAAAGGGCAGCAGAACCACAGACTCTCGGCCCACCCTCCTCCCTCAACCAAAGGCACAGGGATACGGAAAGAGAACTTTCTAGTCAACTGGAGAGAAGATGGCGTATTCCTTCAGAACTGGTGGAAGGAGAAAGGAATCCAGGAGCCGTTTCTTCATTTGCATCAAGAAAAGGAAAAAGGGGCTGGGGTTGTGGCTGAGCGGTAGAGCGCTCGCCTAGCACATGCGAGGCCCTGGGTTCGATCCTCAGCACCACATAAAGACTAAATAAATAAAGATATTGTGTCCAACTAAAAAATAAATATTTTAAAAAAACAAATAAATAAAAAAGAAATGGGATAAGCTATATTTTATGATATTGCCAAGTTACAGACACCTGGTTTCTTTGGAAAGCAAGATTTCTATCAGCACTTACTGTTCCTACCCCTGGTGAACCCACTGAAGCAAAAGGTACAGCTTCCTTTCCCGAATGTCAGAGGAACCCAGACTGTAGAACCTGGTGCTGGAATTTGAACCCCTGCCCGACACTGACTGGCGGTGTGATCCCTGGGCCTTGGGCTTCTCATCTGTACAATGGGGCTAGTAATGGCCTATGGGGGGTGGGGGATAAAGACTGGAGAGTTACTCCGTGTGAAGTGTTCCAGGCACCCTGAGTGCTCAGGGGGTTAAGCTGTTCCTAGCAGCACCGTGTGCAGGTGTTCCTACACGGCCAGACCTGATCCCTCAATGGCCCTAGGAGGAAACTGCAACCGTCATCACGCCTATTTTATGAAAAGAGAAACCGAGGCTGAGAGATTCCATGACGAGTAACAGGGCAGGAATCAAGGCCAAGTTTGTCTGATCCTAAGCAGGTGCCCAGCGTGCAACACTACACCACTTCCTGGAACACACAGACACACACACACACACACACACACACAATATTTCATCACATCAGAATTAGAAAGACGTGCCTACAGCCACAACTCAAATTGGGGAGCTGTGAACTTCATCACCCAGGGATTCTGAACAGCTCTCAAACTTTTTCCTTCTTGAGAACAAGGATCCTATTTTCACAACTTACCTATAAGAAAATAACACAGAGATCTGAACACACACAAGGCACTCGATCAATACCCACTGGATTCGCACGGAAATTCATGGAAAAAAGTGAAGCCACGGCCTGGTTCAGATAAAGGATCAAACAACACACACGCGAGCCAGGAATTCCCCAAAGCCTGAGGCGCACCTCACACAGGGCACGTTTTCTGTAGACTGTGAAGGTTTTGATCTCAGGCTAAATTTTCTAATCTCATCAAGAATATCGTGCGAGCGCGAATAATTCATGTCAGGGCCTCCAGGTGGCTGCTGTAAAACCTGTCAACTAGAGGCTTTGAAGGGGATCTAATCCTGGGTTGGTTTGTTCTGTTTTCCCCCAGTGTGATGAAGGGTACTGGGACCTTGGCTGAGAGATCTGGGTATCAGCAAACATCCTAAATGTGTGCCCCCATCCCAGGACAAGGGGAGGGAGGACCAGCAGCCTCTCCATAGTATCTCTACAAAGTTGGTTCCAAGTAGGGGTTGTGGGGCAGCAGTACTTTGGATGAGGTTTGTCCCCCAAGGGTTCCCCAGTTGGAAACTTGGTCCCTGGTAAGGTGATGTAAAGATGTGGCAGGACCTATAAGGGGAGGCGGGCATACTCAGAGATGACAAGACTATCATCTCTCATTTTCTGGCTTCCTGGCTTATGATGTGATCTCTCTCTCTCTCTCTCTCTCTCTCTCTCTCTCTCTCTCTCTCTCTCTCTCTCTCTCTCTCTCTCTCTCTCCCCTACTGTGATGCCATCAGCTATGAGATTCTCAGCAGAGCCCAGCTCATGACAGTGCCATGGCCTTGAAGCTCCCAAACCATACCAGAACTACAAGCTAAATAAACTTCTCTTTTTAAAGCCACTAAGCCTCAGGTATTTTGTTTTAGCAACAGAAAAACTGACTGATACAGAGGATATGCCCATTGCCAAAAGTGAAAGGAGGTGGGAATGAATGAAAAGAAACTGTGTGTGTTAGTCAGTTTTCATCGCTGTGACAAATACCTGAGGTTAATCAACATAAAAGGAGGAAAGGTTTATTTTGGCTCATGTTTCAGTCCATGGTCACTTGCAACTGTAGTTTGGGCTTGTGGTGGGACGATGTATCATTGCAGCAGGACAAGGCACAGGAGGGCTGTTTACCTCATGGCATCTGGGAAACGAAGACAGAAGAAAGGGCTAGGGGACCAACATGCCCTTCAGGGGTATTCCCCTAGTGACCTCACTTCCTCCCTCCAGGCCCCACCTAAATGCTCCACCGTCTCCCAATAGCACCCACAGGCTGGCCACCAACCCATTAGCATGTGGGCTTTTGGGGACACTCCAGATCCAAATACAGCAGACCCTGCATACAATTGGATTATTTCTAGGAACTTATAGGCAAGATTTCTTTCTTTCTTTTTTCTTTTTTGCACGTCTGTGCGTGCTGATTTCTGAGGATGGCGGAGCCTAAGCATATGTCGTATCTCTTCCTGATTTAGAGGTAAGCAGTGCAGTGGACAGGCTGGGCCCAGGCCAGGGAAGTTGCAAAGGAGAGACTAAAGGTGATAATGGCAAATGCAGAATTCCCAGGGACTCCACATCACATCAGAATGCAGGTTGTCTTCGGTACCTGCCAGTCTCTGTTAGAGCATTCTGACCTCAGAAAATTTACTCCACCTTTTAAAGCCTTATTGTCCTCCTCTGTAAAATGGGAATACCATCAATGCACACCTCCAAGAGGTGTGATAAGATCATGCATAGAGAGGGACAGGTCAGACGGTGGGTCAGTGATGTACACAGGAAGTCCTCATGAATGCTGGCCACTGCTGTTACCCTGAGAGTGTATTATTGTGAACTGTGTGCACTTTCACATCTATGTAGTGATCAATATTTACAAAGAGCTGATTACTGTTCTTCATGGATAATTCCCCAAATAATCCCTGAGGAAATCAGGACAGATTTCCTGCTGCAGGTGAGAAAACAGAGTCTCCACTCATGAAGGGGTTGGTTGGGATTCATGAGCCCAGGTTATGTCTGCAGCCCTCTACCCATGGCTACCACTGCAGGAAACCCAAGGACAAAGCACCCAGAGGAAAGAACTGGAGTCCAGCCTGCCCACAGGATAGGGCGAGCACACAGGAGTCCAGTCTGGTCTGTTCTGGTTTATTCTATTTGTTGGTGTCCAGATGGATTTTGCAACCCTTGCAATGATGCAGAGCCTGCACAGCTCAGCTGTGGGGAGCCCTGGTTCCCAATGCCAAGTGCAGAGCCCAGGGCCTGTGCTTCAGAATAAGCTGTGGAGTTATTTGCATCATCGTTTATTTTGAATTTTTATTGCAGGAATTTTCAAACAGATGGAAAATAAGAAATAAGAGTAAAATAAGATAAAAGCAGAGATGAGTCAGTAGGGCTGACCTTCCACCTGCCTCGTCCTCATCCCATGCCAACAGCGTTCCATCCACCCTGCCGACCAACGCCTCTGATCCCTGATTTTAAAAAAGGAAATACTGGAGGAATTTTTAAATAATCTAGACTCTCCAGCGCCTGGAAGATTCAGATCTAGCAGGTGCGGGCGGGGTTGGCCAGGATGTGTGGTTCTCCTGGCTGCCTCCCCAGGTGACATGGATAAAGACTCACTCTGGAGCCATCAAATTGGGTGACCACTGAGGGCTCCATTGTTTGCAAGCAACCAAGGGATGGGTTCCGTGAAGGGAAATGGGCACACCCCTCAGCTACGCAGGCTCACAGGGGACTGCCCTAGAAGACACAGCCAATGATCTCAGAACAGAAAGGCCTGAGAGGTTAGTCCACAGGCCTGAGATGCCCGACTTCCCAAGAGAGGGCATCTGTGTTTCCACAGCTCCATTGCTGTGCCCACCACCCTGCACCTTAGCAGTCTGCTGGGACCTCCTGATCAACCCATTCACCCCATCATTCCGGGGCACTCTGTGTGAAGTTGATGGCGCTCAGCCATTCTTGACCTTCAAAACGTCCGTATCGTGACTAGACCTGATATTTAGTAGGCAGTCAATACAGGTCTCACAAAGAAATCAACACAAGGTTATAAGGGCTCCAGCATGGCAAGACGCCAAGCCAGTCTTTCTCATTGACCCCAACCACAGTGCCACTCCAGTTAGCAGGTGACAGCACGCAGCAGGGCTGGGTGCCCCCTGGACATTCAGTAATGATGGGTAATGGCGATGCTGTTATTAGCCAAAGCCTAGAGCTCCTCAGCAATGGAGCCAGGACTCGAACCCAGGACGGCCCAGCTCCAATCAGCCTGCCTTCCCAAGCAGTGTCTGTCCTGGGAAAGCAGTAACCAGAGGCCTCCCAAAAGAGGACCTCGTAATGGGAGTGACACACGGGCACGCGGGAATCAGACCAGCTGACAAGTGCCAGACAGTGAGCAGCTGAACAGGTGAGGAGCCAAACGGGGAGGGGGGGGAACCTGCTCTGAAATCACTTCAGAGGGCACAGCCATTTATCCAGGAGGGAGTCTGTGTAGACACGTCCGTGGCTGCCTGTCTTACTGGCTCTTTGGTTAAAAGAGGGTCAGACAGATGGACAGGCCCATGGAGGGGAGGACCCCCAGGGAGGCTGAGCCCCGCTTACTTACCTCTTTGCTCTATCTTTCTCATCTTCATCCATTAGATTTTCTATGCAGTTTTTCCTGCAAAACAAAACAAAACCCAGGTGATCACCGTCTGCTTCCAGCTCTTTCTTCCAGGTCTTTCTGGTGGTCACACGTGGGCCTTGTCTCATTCTATGCCTCAGCCCCCGAAGCTCTCAGACTTTTTGGTCTAACCCCGCTTTGTGCTCTCAACATTTACTGAGGACTCCCAAAGCTCTTGTGCACGTGGGTTTACACTGAGAGACGTCTCACACGCCATCAGACGTCACAGTGACAAAGTCTTCGGCTATCAGCTTCTGGAAAAGTCCACCATACGTTCAGGAGAGAAGGCACGGTTTTTAAAAAGCAAAATCATTATCTTTTCAAAAGGCTTTGTCCCCAAGGGTCCCCAGAACTGCTGTAAAGACCTCGCTCCGCCCTATGGGAGCACCACCCTCAGACCTTCCCTCAGACTGTGAAGACTCACAGATGGGAGCCCTTGAGTGACAACCCAGGAATGTTCTTGCAGCTTTAAGTCGGCAGGACCCACCTCACAGCAGAGCCTCTCCTGTCCCAGGCCACTAGCTTGATGCCTCTCGGGCCCCGTGACCTGCTTTCCTCTTCTGCCCCATGTAGGCCTTGGATTATTCCACTTCCAGAGCAAGGCCCCGATCCCTCCTTCCATTCACACACTTCCCAGAGCCCCACCTGCCTGGCGGGGGCGGGGGGTGGGGGGGGTTCCCCTCCAGCCAGCACACCACGTCCTAGTGGCTCTTGAGACCAGATCCTGCTGGGGACTGCAGGCAGAGGGTGTCAGGAGCTGAGTGACTGAGGTCGGGGTGGGGACCACAGAGAAGCTGAATCACCCCTACCCAGAAGGCTTTGCTCTCAACCCCGAGCATCTGAAGTCAGACCGCTGAAACCCACACTTTGCAAATGTACCGGCAGTTTCTCTAGAAATTGAGTGTTGGATGAGATTTTTTAATGGCGCTTTCCCTGAGATCATTTAGTTTGGTGATCTTGGTTACCGAGGTGCACGGATTTGAGCCAAAGCGAGGACGCGAGGAATTCTGAAGTCCTGGCCTCTGGTTACAGAGACGCCCCATTCCGTGAACAGCGGGCGCATTTAGGGACAGATAGCAAAGAAAAAAAATGCATTCAGCGTTGAGGTTTGTATCACAATTAAAGTGGGGTTAACACATCTGCAAGCAGGCCTGTGCTTAATGTCTTCCAGATGGAATCTGCTCGAAGCTTTACGACATTAAAAACCTGGTGTCGATTCATCTGAGGATGCCCTGCCCTAGGCCTCTGCTCCCAACCCCGAGTGGCCAGAGCAGGAGTGAGGACCCCACAGAGCTGCATCATCCGTGTCCTGCACCAGCAGCCCCTGGACGGAGCATGCTCACAGGGACATGGTGTTGGGGTCCTGTTTGGGTGAGTGGGGTGGCTGAGTCATAAACCAAACACTAAAAATGACTAATAGCGCTCCCTTATCAACCCCATCTTCTCTGATTTATGTTTAGCCTTAAACATTTCCTGAATCCATGAAGCTCGGACGGTCCACACCCACTTCCTCTGCTTCCCTGCCCCTCCCATGTCCCTGCCCCGATTCCTCTCCCTTGACCCAGACTAGGCCCATGAATGGCTCCCCTGTGCAGACCAGGCATCTGAGGCTCTCCAGCAGCACCTGCTGCAGACATTCCTGCTGATGTCCTTACCGGTCGTCACCTCTGTTGTCCTCTAAGTCTTCCACATACATTTCTTTTTTACTCAAAAAATCGTGGTGAAATAGACCTGATAAAATCAACCACCTTAACCATCTGTGTGCGCAGTTTAGGGCATGCACGAAGTGGGCCTCCATCTCCCCCTCCACCTCCAGGACTCTTCTATTGCAAAACTCAAACGTACACACGGAATCATAGTGCTTGTCTTTGATGACCGCCGACTTCACTTAGCATAACCTTCTCAAGGCTCATCCATGTTGAAATTTCTCCTTTCCAAGGCCGTGCTCCCCTGCCTCTCCCCTCCTCCCTCCCTCTGTTCCCCTTCCTCTACCTACTGGTCTTCCTTCAGTTTACCTACAGGCTTTCAAAAATCAGTGCTTTATAGATGTACACAGGAGAGTTGGTCCATGTCATTCCCCGTCCCTCCCTTTTCCTGTCCTATCGTATTTTTGAGCCACTCTCTTCCTTTCTGAGATGGAGGAGCTGGAGAGAAGCCAAAGGCAAAGTAGGAAGGGTCTCACAGAGAGGTCGGGTTAAAGGACTAACAGAGACGTTTAGGGTTAATAAAGGAACAACAGGGAAGTTTGTTTTAGATTTTTGCTTTTGCAGTGCTAGGGGTGGACCCTAGGGCCTCGCACATGCCCGGCAAGCACTCTCCAATAGACCAAATCCATAACGACTGTTCTCAGCTGTATAAAGATTTTCCAATGAGAAAACTTTTTGAACAGATTTTTTTTTATGAGCACAGAGTGCCAGGGAATAGAAAATGAGCTCCAATGAAGGCAGAGGAGATTCTCCTTGGAGCTGAGGAAACACCTGTTGATGTTATTAACATCCAGAGGGAAGCAGGAAGGCAGGCAGTGGGGTCTTGGCTCCCGATCTCTGCATGGATTGAGCCATGTGAGGCTTAGGAACCAGGATTCCGAGGAAACCAGACAGCGCAGGTAGGATGCTGGGAGGAGACCTTACCTGGCACGCTGTGGGTGGGGAGTGGGAGACCAAGAAGGAAGCCTTGTCCCCTGGGGTTGGTAACAGCAGAGCTGGGAGACAAGAGGATTTCCTCAATCTGGAAGGGGACACCCTCGGACAGAGGGACACAACCAGGAAGGGGTGCAAGGGAACACATACCCTCAGTCATCCTCCTGCTCCCATCCTCCCCCTCCCCCTCAGACAGCAGGAAGCGCGGCGCTCCCCTTCTGTGAACATCTTACGTTGGTGCGGTTCATTGAAATAGCATCATGCGAGGAACCACTGCTGACGGGATTATTAAGCAGATTCCAGGCTTTTTCTGGATCTTCTCAGGGTTGACATCTGCCCCATCTCTGTTCCAGGGCCCATTCATTGGCCGCCACCCATTGCACTTCTTTGCACATCTCCCAGGTTCTTCTCAGCTAGTCTCTCAGGTAAATCCCTGGATTTGAAGACCTTGGCCATTTTGAGAAGGTTTTTTTTTTTTTTTTTGGTACTGAGGATTGAACCCAGGGGTGTTTAACCACTGAGCCCCATCCCCAGCACTATTTTGTAGTTTATTTAGAGACAGGGTTTCACTGAGTTGCTTAGGGCCTTGCTAAGTTGCTGAGGCTGGCTTTGAACTTGAGATCCTCCTGCCTCAGCCTCCTGAGCCTCTGGGATTACAGGTGTGCACCACTGTGCCTGGCTTGAGAGGTTTTTGTAGGGTGTCCTTCAATTGGTCTGTCTCTCCTGGTTGAACTGGGCATATGGGATTTGGGTGGAAGACCCCTGAGGGGCAGTGCCTTCCTCCTCACATCCTGGTACCTGTGTCACCTGTCACATGGCTGTTGGCCTAAGGCAGAAATCCACTTATCATTAAGTGGTACGTGAGTCACGTTAACACATCACATGTAAAATACATCTTTCTTCAGCTTTCCAGGTATTCGTTTTCCAGGTGAAGAATCTCTAAATTTAAAGCAGCAGATCCAGTTATTAATCCAAGTACACTGTCTCCCCTGTGCTCTTGGGCTTCGATATGTCATTATTGGACTTTGGTCAGATTAATAATTGGACCTGTTCCCCAGCCTTAGAGGCACATCGCCTAGAAACAAAATGAGCATTTCATTAGAAAATACAACTAACCTGCTATTTACACAAAATTCTTGTTTCCTGACACCTTGATATCCTGTGTTTGCTGTATCCCAGTAGCACACTGATTCCTGTAGTTTTGTGGCAATTCCTGTCGTCAATGTAGGACGAGCCTCTCAGTGCTGTTCTCGTCCCAGAGTGCCCTGGCCATCCCAGATCCTGCATTTCCATGCAAATTTTAGAATCAATCTGTTAATTTCTGCAAAGATGCCAGCTACGACCTGGGTGGCCATGGTGTGGCACCCAGGGATTGATTTGGGGAAAACTGTCCCATTGATGTCGAGGACTCTGGTGAGCGAACGGGACAGCTCTTTCTAGAAGCCTCGACTTCCAAGCTCTGTGACGCGGCTGCTAAGTGTATTCACCCAAGTGCCGACTGTGCCCTCTGTGTGATGTGCAGGATGCAGGACAACAGGGACCTCGTGAGCAGAGCCCCTTTTTGCATGCCACTTCTGTGGGGTGGGGGATGTGCGTGTTGGCAAGCGAGGACAAACCACAGGCAGGGGAATTAATGAACATAAAGCCACCACTCGCTTGTCACTGCCATGGAGAAAAATAAAGAACCAGGGAACAGTGAGGGAGGGTCATGGTGGAGTGGGGCGGGGGCAGGCTTCGGTATTTTAGGGGGTCACAGGGGACCTCCTTGGAGAGATGCTATTTGAAATTTGATTGGCAGCAAGTGAGGGGGCCATGAGGATACCTCCGGCAAGGCCCCTGGGTAGCAGGAAGAGCACAAAACAGACACGAGGCCAGGGTGGTGGGTAAAGCTGGTGCAAGGGACACAGAGCCAGAGGAGAGACGGAGGTGCTTCAGGGAGACAGGGGCAATGTGGCTTTTCATCCCAAGTGGGATGGGGCTGCATTTCCATCCCACTCTGGGAACGAACAGAGGTTCTGAACAGAGAGGAGTGACAGTCACCAGCCTCTAAGGACAGTGATCGTTCTAAATGAACTTAAGTTCACCAAACCTGCTGCATAGCAGACACTCAAAAAAAGGCCCTCTGCTTTGATGGACAGGGTTAGGTGTGATGGTCTTCACCCATCCATGATGGCTAACCCACTGACCCCCGTTCCTGAGTCATAGTAGGTGTTCAATAAATGTACGGGGAATGAAGAAGGGAAGGGGAGGGGAGGGGGAGGGAAACAGCCGGGTCCAAGCCTTACCTGAACCCCTAAGCCTGCTCAGCATTCACTCCCACAAACATCTCAGTGAGCGGGCAATCCAGGGTAACAGCAT